ATTTTAAGAAAAAAATGTTTGACTTCCTGGTAAACAGACCATATTATACATTGCATGAATTTTTGTCTGACAGATTCGTTAACAGTTGAAACGCCATTTTATGTTTTGATGCAAAATGAAATTAATACAAGTTTCTTTATTCAATCAGTATTTAATATTATAATGTATAGCTACTGCAATTTATATGCTTTGTCACAAACTATTGTATGCCTAACATGGTGGAGCAGTGCATGAACACAACAACCTTTAGAACAACCTTTGTAACCACTGTCTCACAATAAAGATCTTTGACTTTGACTTTGACTTTGACTTTATTTATTATTTAAGTGTTCATTTAGCAGTGGAAGAGTTAACAGGTTGCCGGTGCAAAAGTAGGAACGGGGTGGTTTATAGTAAGTAAGAGTCTGACACTCCCTCTCGCATCACCCGGGCGAGAGAAGCCATCCGATGATCCCCCCTCTTAAAAAAGGCTAATTGTCAATTGGACGAATAGATCCCATGCTACACAGCGCCATCTAATGAGTAAGAAAAATGTTACACCCTCATTGGAAGCATAGATTTTAGCGATTCTTTTTTCAAATATTTTGTTCGATATAACTTTAAAGTTACATAAAAATACTAAACCCTTTCAAAGGGTTATATTCTAGTTATTGTAACTAAAGGACAATTTGTCATACATAAAAGTAATTATGTCTAAATATGTGTCAATTAAGTTAAGGGACCGTTCAAATATTACGTAACCAGATTTTTAAAAATTCCCCCCCCCCTCCCTCCCCCATCCCCCTTGTCAGCAAAAGTAAACAAAGATCTTACCCCCTCCCCCTTTGCTTACGTAAACATTTTAAATTATACCTTTTTTATATTGTAATTTTAATATTCTCCAAATACCATAATGTCTCGTTCTTTGTCGGTCTTTGCTTTTAATTTATAATTTCAACATGAGGGTTGCCATTCGTGTAGAAAAGTAAATAACTACCGATGACGTAATCATTATCTACACTCCCCTACCCCCCATATCATCCGAAATAAGCAAAACAGAGACCCCCCCATGGTTCTTACGTAATATTTGAACGGCCCCCTAACAAAAAAGTTAATCCGGACCTAAATCTAACATCTTACAAGAGATACGAATTCTATGCAAATAGGAACACGCCTAAATCCATACAAATAAAATTTTCAAACAATAATCCATTACATAGATAAAAAAAAACCGCCAAAAAACACGTTCCATAGACTATGTGACAGTTGACAGCTGACATCAACTTCTAGCGTCGTTAATTGTCTCTGGAACTTTGACTTCTAGTCCGTCCATATCTTTGGTTAGCGTGATCTGGCAACCGAGTCTTGAGGTGTCCGTTAAACCGTAAGCCAGGTCTAACATATCTCTTTCTTCATCACACGCTTCTTCTGGTAACCTGTAGAAAGGAGAATAATAAAAATTACTATCTTAACTACATACCAACATGCCTTTTGTCCCTGTTTATTCAATGAACTTTGTCGTAATGGCAATTATCCATCTTCAATGGGTAGCGGTTCAACGGCCAAGTCACACAACATTCACTTTAATAACTAAGACACCGCAGTAAGGAACCTTATTCGAGCGTCGGGGATCGAGACGATATCCGGCCACCATAAGCACGGGCCTGTGGACGGCGAGCAGCAGCGAGCTATCAGACCACCACAAATGGGGCCCAACAGGGCTGATGCAGATACGGAGCCGCGGAAGGCCTAACGGGTTACCGGGGCTCCGACTCAAAGTGCAGGAGCATGAACGGGGTGGGTTTTAGTCAGTAAGAGTCTGACACTCCCTCCAGCCTCACCCGGGCGGGAGAAGTCATTGGATGATCTTTCCCCCTCAAAAAAGTGTTTGCTTCGCGCTCGACTTGGCGGGGGCACTGCCGTGACTCCAGATATTAACATGTGTAATTGGTTTAAACGTGACAATTTAGATTCATTGTATAATTTCGTCATTTGAGTATATTAGATAACGCGTCTGTATGCCCTAATTTCTTAACGACATTTTAATTACTAATTGTTTGTAGTATAGGACTACGCTTAAAACTTTGTATTGATGACGATTAGAAATAATTGTGCAAGAGATATTGTGTCTGTCAGAATGAACAGTCACTTGGCGTATTTAACGTTGAATTTATGTCCAATAAATGCTTCCCTATTGCTTCTATTTGCTTCTTATAGTAAGCTTACGGTAAGCAATCAGTGTCACCGATGGACACCCGGAACACTGGAGTAGTAACAAGTGCGTTATCAGCTTTTTGGGAAGTCGTTCATGTTAATGTTAAGGATATTCGAAACCAGAAACCCAACAATACTCTTCTCGATTGAAGAATGGAACTTGACTGAAAAATTAAGTGTGGGAGAGCTATACCACGGCCGAGCAGAAAACCGACGTGAAACGACGCTTGCGTTGTATTTCATCGTGTGAGTTAGGTTAACGGAGGCGCAATTACCCCTCCCCCTCCCTTCTCCTATCTCCCTAATCTCTGAATCTCCAAAAGTTCTCAAATTCCTAATCTAAGGACGGTAACGCACGACGGCTTTTGTGTTCCGGGTGTCCGTGGGTGACGTCAATTGCTTACCATCAGGTGATCCGTCTGCTCGTGTACCAGCTTATCCTGTAAAAAAACCCAGAAACTACTTGCTCTGGAGCCGCGTTCATCACATCGAGTTACCAAGGGAATCAGCTATTATTATGTATCATATACATTCCTGTCCTCTCCCTAAGAGATTAACAGTGTCAGATAAAATGTAAATCACAAAAATGGGACGGTCGACCAGATTCTTATCCATTCGCAAAAAATACCAATTGTTTTTTTCATTTTGATGGCATAACTGTAATATGTTTTGTATTCAGGGTGAAAAAACTATATTATACAACGAACGGACCCATTTCCGAGTCGTATGAATTATTTATTTTAGTTCGTCGACGATGGAGACAAAACGAGGATTTTTTAACCGTCGCCTACGATCTAGGATTGTCTGTCGTTGGCCATCATGCAGCCAATGATAGGTAAGAGGAAGGAGTTTATGTTGAGATGGAGTCTGATAGAGGGGAATAGGGCAGTTCCTAAATTTTATTTGAATGTCCGTCTGATACATTAATTTAAAACATTGGTCACGTATTTTTTCTTTTCTCACAAAATTAAATACTTTCGACGATATATTCATTTGAAATATCGTGTGACGTCACAACGTGTCACACTCAATAGCACGTTATGACGTAACGACCTCCCACTCCTAAACTTAGCGCCATTTTATCTAAGTGTTGCAACTTAATACGAAAAAAAAATACGTGTCTAATATTTTTTCATTTTCTAACTGACGGACTAATTACATTTTTAATTTTGAAACCCTGGAAACTAGCCAATTGAAGGAGATATATAGCGCCCACAACAAGTAGATTAGGAGCAAGCCAAAAAAAGAAGAAGAAATTAGACTACTCGGTTACCGCAGATGGCTGGGCAACCAGCTGTTCCATAGCGGGTCGTGGGTAATCCGTATGGAATAATTACTTACATAACATAACATAACATCACGCCTTTTATCCCGAAGGGGTAGGCAGAAGTGCACATTATGCCACTGTACAATGTAACACCCACTTTTCACTATTTATGTTACGAGTCCCATGTAATAGGGGGTGAGCCTATTGCCATATACCGGGCACAATTCCAGACTCCGTGCTACTACTGAGATTTTTTTTTAAAACCCACTAATACTTTGCCCGACCCGGGAATCGAACCCGAGACCCCTTGCTCGGCAGTCGCACTTGCGACCACTCGGCCAACGAGGCAGGAATAATTACTTGTGAGAATAAATTGTTGTTTCAGATCTGTGTGTGATGTGTATGTGAACTTGTTTTTTTTTATGGCGTAAGCCGAACGAGCAGACGGATCACCTGATGGTAAGCAATTGGCGTCGCCCATGGACACCTGGAACACCAGAGGCGTTACAAGTGCGTTACCGGCTTTTTGGGGATTAGAAGTTTGAGGATCGATGGGGGATTCAGGGATTAGGGAGATTGGGGAAGGAGAGGGTAATTGGGCCACCTGTAACCTCACTCACACGACGAAACAACGCAAGCGTTGTTTCACGTCGGTTTTCTGTGAGGCCGTGGTATCACTCCGGTCGAGCCGGCCCATTCGTGCCGAAGCATGGCTCTCCCACACTATATATTAATGTTATAAATATAAATGCATGTTTGTAAACGGACACACGACACAGGAGACAATCCTAGTGTGGACCCAAGTTCTTTTAAATATAGAAAAAGAGTCTTACCTATCATAATCTTGTTTTTTTAACACAACGTGACAAGTGGAGCAGGTAAGAGTGCCTTCACACGCGCCGTACCCTTCGATGTTCAGGTCGTTATTGACGACCACATCCAACAGTGTGTCACCTACTTTAGCTTCCGTGTCCAATTTCTTCCCATCATACAAGACGAATGTGACTTTTACTCTGAAAAAGAACAAACACGATTACGAATAAACACGATGATTATTTCGCGATCATGCGCAAAAAAGTGGCATCAGTGTTGCGCAGACTGGGGGAGAGCAGCAACGGCGTTCTGAGTAGGCTTGTGTAGTTCGCGAACGAACTAGTTCAAAAGTTCCCACATTCAAAATATGCGAACTAGTTCACGTCATTCCCAACTCCTTAGTTCCTTAGTTCGTATTTCAAAGTACAAGTACAAGGATTGTGAAATCGTTTATATGTATAGTCTATGGTGAAGACCGAACTAAAAAATGCGATAACATATGATCTCACTTGAAAGTCATGAGCTGAGTCGGGAGCTGACGAATTAGGGAGCGATTTGGCTGCCAGTGTCTTCCTAGTTCCTATCCGATTCATTCCAATTCCAAATCGAACTGGGAGTCGGGAGCTGACGAACTAGGGAGCGATTTGGCTGCCAGTGCCTTCCTAGTTCCTATACGATTCATTCCAATTCCAACTCCAACTGCGAGTCGGGAGCTGACGAACTAAAAGAGCGAACTAGTTCGTTTAGGAGCGGCGAACTGATCTGAGTGATCTTAGTCGCGCACTATTAAGCACAAGACTAGTTCTGAGGGTGTTTGCAGAAAGGCTAGAAGGGCCTATTGCCACATACGGTACATAGTTGACAGGTAGTCAAATTCAATATTTCTATTAAAATGTCAACAACGATACTTTTTATGACGTGCGATGTTTATCATAATGCTGGTGGAGTGTGTTAAATTTAAGGTGGCGAGGGACTCACTAATGCGACATTTTAATATAAAAAAATATGATTTGAGATCTTATTCTAGTATTGTGTGTTGCAACAGTGATGACCCGCTGGTATTTGATACTTCTAATTCATTTTTAGTTAATATAAAATGTTTTACATAGATAAGTTTGGGCTACGATGGGGCTAACGTAGCCTATTGGTTAAAAGCCCCTAAAATAAAATAAATAAAAAAAAACTTATGACGTCATCATATTTCTGCGTCAAACAGCATACTTATTTCCTTGAAATTAGCGAGATAAAATCCAATAGTAGGTAAATTGTCAAATCAATGGATGGAAAGTATGATTATTTTTTAATTAGGTATTTATTGTATTGAAAAGTTGAAACAATTTATTTTAATTGTAACTTTCGTGAGACATACTAAATAACGCACGCATACATGACGCACAATATTAGGGCAATGGCATGGGCAGTGTTTCCTTGTCTATGGTCCACAGATAATATTAGATATTAAATATTCTATCATTTCAGTAAAATAATAAGTCTGTGGACCATGGACAAGATCTCACTTCATTTTAATTTTTTAGCTTTTTTTGTTTTCTTTTTTATTTTTTAAATAATTATGTTATGTGTGTTTTGCGCAGAAATAAATGGCTTTTCTTTCTTTCTTCTTCTTCTTTCTAAATTACTATGTTTTCGGCTTACTCACGTAATAATTTGACGAGGAACTCGACTGGAGGAAGTCGCCGCGTCGCAGGTCGCGAAATGCTGCTCATGAATATGACCCTCTAGCATGGCTTGATAGTCGAGTTCCTCGTCAAATTATTACGTGAGTAAGCCGAAAACATAATAATTTATTTTACACCTAAGAAACTAGCGAATTCCAGACTCCGTGCTACTACTGGGATTTTTTTAAAAACCCAGTAATATTTTACTCTTCTTTACTGAAGGACTATTCTATTTCGAGGTTTCAGGAAACGACGTTTAAGTTAAATAAACTTAAGATTATGAATCGCAAGCAAGACTGCCGAACAAGCTATATCGTGAAGCAAATCGCTTCTTCTGCGAAGCAGTCATGCTAGGTAGGGAGGAGATAGGGCGCGTGAGGCAACGACCCTCCTCACGCCCCAGCCATCGCGAGAAACACTTCGGGTGTCAGGGATTGCGAGACGATCTCCGGCCACGGTAAGCACGGACCTGCGGACGGCGAGCATAGGTAGCTCGCCGTCCGAGCAGAATCAGACCCGAGCGCCTCAAAGAGCCAAAGTCAAAATCATTTATTTCAATTAGACCAGGAAGGTAGTTTTGAACGCCAACAACAATAATTTGGAAGTGAAGCTAGTTGCTCATTCCAAGGTGTAGATTCCTATGGAGAAGAACGAGCAAGAATAATAGGTTACTCTTTTTCAATCGGGTTTACAATACAATTCTCTAGTTACATAGTTTTGTTTGTTCGATTGTGTGAGAACAAAGCAACACCTAAATCTAGTAAGAGAGCCCTCAGACCACCACAGATGAGGTCCAACAGGGCTGATGCCAAATATGCCAATACGCAGCCGTGGGGGACGTAACGGGTTACAGGAGCCCCGGCTCGAAGTGCAGGAGTAGGAACGGGGTGGTGTTTAGTCAGTTAGAGTCTGACACTCCCGCTCGCCTCACCCGGGTAAAAGAAGTCATTGGACGATTTTCCATCCTCAAAAAAAAGCAAATCGGTTTTGTTGACAATTTCCAGTCCTTGCTAGTTAATGTTACGTTGTGTTAACTAAAGCGGACGTTCAAGGTCACCAAATCTATTTCTGTTTCTGATAACACATTGATTAGTTTCAAGTAGACACTTATATCGATAGCAACTACCTTCTTATTTCCTTATAACTACGTAGATAGAGTAATAACCATTTTGATTTTAAGGGAGGAAATCATCAAAGACTTCTCCCACCTTGGGTGAGGCGAGAGGGGGTGTCAGACTCTTACTGACTAAACACCACCTCTTTTTTTTACTGCCTCGTTGTCCAAGTGGTCGCAAGTGCGACTGCCGGGCAAGGGGTCTCGGGTTCGATTCCCGGGTCGGGCAAAGTATTACTGGGTTTTTAAAAAGTCTCAGTAGTAGCACGGAGTCTGGAAATGTGCCCGGTATATGGCAATACCCCCTATTACATGGGACTTATAACAAAATAGTGAAAAGTGGTTGTTACATTGTACAGTGGCATTAAGTGCCAAAATGTGCACCTCTGCCTACCCCTACGGGGATAAAAAGGCGTGATGTTATGTATGTACCACCTCTTTCTTACTCCTGCTTTGTGCTGACTCCTTACAGAGGCAGGATGAAAGTAGCCTATGTGTTATCATCTACCTCTGTGCCAAGTTTCATCTAAATCCCTTCAGGAGTTTTTGCGTGACCAAAGGGCCTTTGGTCAGCAGTGGCAAAGGTATCTTCTAACACGGAGAAGATGTGAGCATTAATCACCACGCTTCCTCAATGACGACGAGGTTGACGATTTCAAACTTATAATTAGAATTATAAGCCCAGGTTTCCTCACGATGTTCTCCTTCACCGTTTGTCACTGATGTCTAAAAATCTTAGAAAGTACATATAACTCGGAAAAAGTCACATTGGTACTTGCCGTTGGTAGGTTTCGAAGCCGCACTCTCATGCATGAGAAGCGGGCGACGTAGGTACAAAAGACAAATGATGAGGCAATCACAAAAATAAATTTTACATCATTGATAACATCAAAGAACAAAAGAAAACTAAAAATAGAATCGTAATCCACTTAAGTACCTATTTAAATCTATTGAGGTATCTTATCAAAAAAATTTATTTGTAAAAATAGTATGACATGATGAAATAGTACATGAGACTACATCATTCTCGAAAAATCTCTGATTTTACTAAGGCTTTAAACAGCCTAACCACATTTTAACTGCAATCCGGATGCAGTTTAAACGCAGTTGACACGACTGCAATAGAACTGCAATCGGATTGCTCGTTTAGTTCGCAACCGTTTGGTCATATCTGCAATAGAACTGCAATCGGACTGCTCGTTTAGTTTGCAGCCGTTTGGTCATGACTGCAATAGAACTGCAATCGGACATCACATTTGGTAAGCAACCGTTTGGTCATGACTGCAATAGAACTGCAATCGGACATCACGTTTGGTAAGCAACCGTTTGGTCATGACTACAATGGAACTGCAATCGGACTGCTCGTTTGGTTTGTAACCGTTTGGTCATGACTACAATAGAACTGCAATCGGACATCACGTTTGGTAAGCAACCGTTTGGTCATGACTACAATGGAACTGCAATCGGACATCACGTTTGGTAAGCAACCGTTTGGTCATGACTGCAATAGAACTGCAATCGGACTGCACGTTTGGCTTGCAACCACTATTTGGTCACGACTACAATAGAACTGCAATCGAACTGCTCGTTTAGTTCGCAACCGTTTGGTCACGACTGCAATAGAACTGCAATCGAACTGCTCGTTTAGTTCGCAACCGTTTGGTCATGACTGCAATCGAACTGCACGTTTGTTTTGCAGTTCAATTAAAATCGTGCCACGACTGTATTCAAACTACATCCGTATCGCAATTTGTGGTTGGATTGTAGTTAAAATGCGGTCCGTCTGTCTAGAGCCCAAGACTCCGTTTACTCGAAAAAAAATCGTAAGGGGATAAAAATGTGATTAAAAGCGTTTTTGTCTGTCTGTATGTTCGCGCATCACATTCGATTACGATAGAACTTGGTATAATAATATAGCTTTAATATCCTGCAGTGGACCTTACACTGTAACTGTAGAGCCGATAGTCGTAATTAGCTTGAATCGCTATTATACCTAAATAAATGCGAAAATTTGTCAATTTGTGTGTTTGTGAATTTGTATGTATGTTTGTAACTCAGTCACATCGAAACAGCTGACGGGATCGGGAATCGGGGGCGGGAACTATCGAATGACTGCTCCCGCCTGGGTGAGGCGGGAGGGAGTGTCAGACTCTTACTGACTAAAAATCACTTACGACCACTCGGCCAACGAGACAGTAATTGAGAAAAAAAATCTAAAATGTAGAATATGGAGAAGAATTAGTAAAACTCTAAGTGTGGGAAAACCATGTTTCGGCACGAATGGGCCGGCTCGACCGGAGTGATACCACGGCGTCACAGAAAACCGACGTGAAACAACTCTTGTGTTGTGTTTCGTCGTGTGAGTCAGGTTACCGGAGGCCCAATTACCCTCCCCTTCCCCAATCTCCCCAATCCCTGAATCCCCATCGATCCTCAAACTAATAATCCCCAAAAAGCCGGTAACGCACTTGTAACGTCTCTGGTGTTCCAGGTGTCCATGGGCGACACCGATTGTTTACCATCAGGTGATCCATCTGCTCGTTTACCGGCTTATTCCATTAAAAAATTCTCTAAATGTAATAATATATAAAAGACAATCAAGTAATTTAGTACGTGGGTAAGAAAATAAAAATGGATTCAGCACAGAGACAGCCACCATTGGTCGGCTTAGCCAACTAGATTTAGTTTTGATACAGAGCATACAATTTAGTATAAAAACTACTGCCTTATTATTTTTTTAAAAAACGTTCCTCTACCCTAGGATTGTCTTCTGTGTCATGTGTGTGTTTGCAAACATACAAGTTCACATACACAACATAATTTGTGGATCACACAAAGACTTGCTCCAGCCAGAGCCGGTTGCCCAGCATCTGCATCAAGCATGCAGTCCATACTCTGTTTTCTTGTTTAGTGTTACATTGTTCTTGCACAATCCAAACAACAAAACTATGTAACTAGAACATTGTATTGTGAACCTGATTGAAAAAGTGTAACCTAAGGAGTTTCTTGCTCATTCTTCTCCATAGGATCAGTGTTTTTGGTAAAATATGAAATGTAATACTATTATAATTATTTCTACACCGGAGACGGTTGTGTATGTGAAACTGCTGTATTGTTAAGATCTGTGTGTAGGTACCATATACTGAGAAATAAACGATATTATTATTATAGGAATCTACACCTTGGAATGAGCATTATAGCTAATTCATTCACTTATAATTTTTTTGATAACATTCAAAAATGCCTTTCCGGTCTAATTGAAATAAATGATTTTGACTTTGACTTTGACTTGCACTGAATTAATTTTTATTTTCTTACCTGTATACTACCATACTATGAACTAAAATAATTTTACAGATTCTAATATTTATTCATTTTAATATGTTCCTCGGGTCAGAAAAATACATAATTACCTATATTGTTTGAAAAGTATTGATTTGAATCTAAGTGGAGCAGCATTATCATCTAATGTTAAATTAAAGATTTCTTTGTTACTAATTACTAATTTAATTTGGGTGTGTGTATTAGAAACCACTTCAGTTAAATTAGAGAAATAAATATACTCGAAACTTTTATTTATACATTTTGTTAAATATTAAACACATAATAATGGGTATAATTTCTGGATAGCAGCCAGTACCTTCAAACGATTCTCTAAAAAGTTTTCATTATGTTTGCTAACCTCTTAACAGACCAAAATCAAATAGTTAATAAAAATCATGTAAAATTCATAAAATCATGCAAAAACAACTTACTTTTCCTCCTTTAAAGCTAATTCTGTAGTAGATAACGGCGCTATGCTCCTCTGATTGACGAAATTCGTTGTTACACCGTTGTTCTTAATTGAACAACGTAGATTTCGTGTTGTTACACTTCGTAATAAATTCCGCAACATTTTTGCTTATTTTCTAAACCACGGGAGTGTTTGGAAGCGCTGAATCACTGCGTATATCACCACTGTATATTAAGTAATTCAACGAGATAGCCTCTAACTGATATATGATAACATAATATGATAATTTCATCAAATAATTCTTGACCTTAAAACGTACGATTTTTTAGGTTACACAAAATACGTTTCGATTGTGACATTGAAATTGGTGACAACAATTTTAAATAAAATATTCTCGGAATAGAAGTGGTTTGATAGTATTTTTATTACAAACTTTTGATTCAATTATGTGAAGTCATAATTAACTTAATATCGTATTTATTTTCTTAGAAAAGAAGATTAATATACCTAAATTAGAAATTGAATTTCTGCGTGGATAGGAAAAGTGTAACACCTGATGTTGACGTTGACATTGCGTTTAATTATTTATTTCCGTGTTTTAGATTACGGAAGAAGTTGTGGAATCTTCAGTAAATTCATTATAATTACTTTTAAATATTATTTTTCCTTTTCATACTAAAAAAATGATTGGATATAGTAACTAAACTACTTTTTATCCCAATATTGTCTAGGTATTTTCTATATTCCTAATTAATAGCTAAACGCTAAGCGGGTAAAAACGTTTTCTTGCGTTCCAGAATATAAAGAGTATACTTTAACAATTTTTAGCATCAGAGAAACTTTTAACTGTCTAAAATGTAATATAAGATTGTTGTTTTCACAATAACAGATAAAAATTTTAACTTAAATGAGGCTTTAGACACTAATTTCATATATATCACTAATATAAAATCTGAAATTAAACTATAATTTAATTTAACTTATGAAAAACATTAATTTTATATGGATGATTCCAGAAATAACATGCTGGTTTTTGACAGCCGCGTTAAATCGAAAGGTACTGGAACGTTTCCATTACCCCCCCCATTGTCAAAATTCGCGTTGTAACGAGAAGTCAATGAAAATAAAGAAATTTCTCATATTTTCCCCATTCTCTTGGATTCTAAATCATTAACAAAAATTTCTAAACTCCCTAATTTATAGTGTGTAAAATTTAAAATGTCGAAGAGGTTACAGAGTACAGATCAGGCGAAAAACGACGAAATTATTGATGATTTAACAAAGAATTTGGAAACTTCGTTGAAAACTGAAGAATCCGTGGATGAATTTGTTATAAGTCCTGGCACAAGCGCTGAGGATTTTCCTAAGGCGGCTGGAGACGCACCACAGACAAAAGGTAAGTATTTTTTTAGTTATACGAGTTCAATACGGGCGTCGCCTCTATGTTAAAGCCTAAATACTTTTCAATGCCAAATTGGTACATATTTGTACTTATTCATTGAGTTGTATTTAAAAAACTTTCGTAAAATCTGGAGAAGTTCTTAAGATCGATAATATTTATGTTTTAAAATAGTCTTCTTCAGTGCGATTGACGACTGCGATTGCGATTTTATAATGCAATCAAAGTTTCATGTTTTCTGTGAAAATTAATGTCTTCAAGGTGTTACAATTAGCTTGTATATAATGTGCATCTCAATTTGTCAAAATTATAACAGATCAACATCAGATTTCCGGAGGCCCAATTACCACCCATCCCCAGTCTCTCCAATCACCGAATCCCCGACAATCCTCAAATTCGCAATTCCTAAAAGGCTGGTAACGCACTTGTATGGCCTTTGGTGTGTCATATGTCTATGGGCGACGCAGGGGGGAAAATCATTGAATGACTGCTCCCGCCTGGGTGAGGCGGGAGGGAGCGTCAGACTCTTACTGACTAAAAACCACCCCATTCCTTCTCCTGCACGTCGAGCCGGAGCCCCGGTTACCCGTTAGGTTCTCCACGACAGATTGCTGAACATCATGTGGTCTGTCACCTCTTTTACCGATTTATCCCTTAAAATAATCGTACCAATGGAAATAAAAACTGTGAGCATACTATACTACATTATACAGAAAAAATATACGCCTACTCTTTCCATGGCCGTTTCTTAGTCTTTTCCAATGTCAATATTAGTCTCTTAACTCGTCGAGTACCGTCATTATAGACACAATTATAGAACAATAGGTTGCGGTCACCGGTGACCGCTCTGTGTTTGACAGTTTAAACCGTTTAAAATTGTCGAAAATCATCCCCTAAATTTGTTTATACAAAAGTAGTCTCTAAACATTGGAAATAAGGTCTATAATGTAGTTAGTGAAGAGCGGTCACCGGTGACCGCTTGAGGATATACGGGTTAATACGTTATCACAATAATACAACACAAGTAGGCAAGGCAAGCATTCATAAACACGGTAGTCACATCATGTCTGTGAGCCGTGTTTTTTTTTCTTGCCACCCTCATAGTAGTAAAAAAAAACAAACACCCACGAGGAGACTACAACTGGTAATAAATGTAGGGTACTGCGACTATCCAATGATTTGATTCATTCGAATTAAATTAAATGCCATTCTTAAATACTCCCTCTCACTCACTTTTAATTTACATACCTTGTATCCCCAAGGGGTAGGCGGAGGTGCACATTACGGTACTTAATGCCACTGTACAATGCAACACCCACTTTTCACTATTTATGTTACAAGTCCCATGTAATAGGGGGTAAGCCTATTGCCATATACCATGCACAATTCCAAACTCCGTGCTACTACTGAGAATTTCTTAAAATAAACCTAATAATACTTTGCCCGATCCGAGAATGAGACCCCTTGCCTGGCAGTCGCACTTGCGACCACTCGGCCAACGCGGCACTTTTAAACAGACAAAGAGATTGTGATGAAATTTGAAACCGTCATAGATTATGGTCTGGAATACCACATACTTTTCAGGCTACTTTTTATACCACCGGAATGAAGGGTGAACCGTTAGCAGAAGCTAGTTGCTCGATACACTCAATGATAACTGCAAATTCTCTTCTTTTTAAATCATCATCATCATCATTAACAGCCAGAAGCCTTCGACTGCTGGATAAAGATTTCCCCTTAGTACTCCAACTTGCTACCTCCATCCACTTTTCCAGTTCTTAACCAATATAATATGAAATTCCAGATATACCACGAATCTACCCAGATCTTGCCGAGGACGATGGAATAGAAAAAGATTTCGAAGAAAAAGACTCTGAAACCAAAGAGGACAGTGATACGGACATCGATGAGGTGTCCCTGAAGGATGCTGAGGTGGATCTCACTGATGACCAGAAGGAGGAACGGAGGATCATTGCCGAAGAGCTGAAGAAAGCTGGCAATGATGCGTTTAAGGATGGTGATTTTGAACGGAGTATTGAGAAGTATACTGAAGGTTAGTGTTATGTTCATGAATGGGCGTTGGCAACTTTGACTGGTCAGCTCCAGACTGTATTGAATTTTGAAATAGATAATCATAATTATTATAACATAACATTACGCCTTTTGACCCCGAAGGGGTAGGTGTACATTATGCCACTGTACAATGTAACACCCACGTTTCACTATTTATGTTATGAGTCCCATGTAATAGGGGGTGAGTCTATTACCATATACCGGGCACATTTCCGAACTCCGTTCTACTACTGAGATTTTAAAAACCCAGTAATATTTTTGTCCGAGCCGGGAATCGAACCCGAGACCCCTTGCCCGGCAGTCGCACTTGCGACCACTCTGCCAATGAGGCAGTCTGTTATATATGCAAAATAACTATACTTTAATAATAACTATAATAATAATAACTATAATTTACTTGTCTCAGGACTATATAAATTTTACAAATAACTCACAAAATTAATTGCAGGCCTCCGAACATGTCCTCTCCAGTTCTCACAACAGCGCTCAATACTCTACTGCAACCGCAGTGCTTCTAAAATGAAGCTTAAAAAGTACAAGCAAGCTATCAAGGACTGCACCAAAGCTATTGAGCTGGATGAGAACTATGTCAAAGCTTATATACGGTAAGAAATATTATATATGGTTTATGCTCCTTCACGAATGGACCGGCTCGGCCGGAGTGATACCACGGCCGAGCTGAAAACCATAGTAACATCGCGCCTTTTATCCCCGAGGGTTAGGCAGAGGTATAATATAATATAACACCCATTTTTTGCCATTTATGTTATGAGTCCCATGTAATAGGGGGTGAGCCTATTGCCATATACCGGGCACAATTCTAGACTCCGTGCTACTACTGAGATTTTGAAAAAAACCCAGTATTACATTGCCCGACCTTAGAATCTAACCCGAGGCCCCTTGCCCGGCAGTTGCACGTGCGACCACTCGGCCACCGAGGCGTCTATATATTATACTGTCTGTATAGACTGTCGCGGAGAACCTTAACCGGGGCTCCGGCTCGAAGTGCAGGAGAAGGAACGGGGTGGTTTTTAGTCAGTAAGAGTCTGACACTCCCTCCCGCCTCACCTAGGCGGGAGTAGTCATTCGATGATTTTCCCCCCTTAAAAAAAAATATATATAATAGACTAGAGATAGAGTCAAGTATATACTTGACTTTACTACATATTTATAATTCACTTCACAGGAGAGCTCAATCGTACGAAGCTACAGAGAAACTGGATGAATCACTAGCGGATTACAAGAAAATATTGGAATTTGACCCGTCTCACAAAGAAGCTAAACTAGCCACCGTCCGCCTCCCACCTTTAATAGAAGAAAAAAATGAGAAACTTAAAACAGAAATGTTAGGAAAACTTAAAGACCTAGGAAACATGATTTTAAAGCCTTTCGGACTGTCTACGGAGAATTTTCAGATGGAACAGGACCCTGTATCGAAGGGCTACAAAATTAATTTCAAACAATAGTCTTGTTTTAAGTGAAATTTGTGATATACCTACTTACTTATTATTAATATAATTTTATTAAATTATATAAAATTTACTTGGTTTTTATTATTTTATTCCGAGACCATCTCCAATGTAGACCTATTGGAGAGATGCCGCGAAACTGATCGACAGTCAGATCAAACGTCGCAAGTGGGGATGGATAGGCGATACGCTCCGAAGGGGTCCGGACAATAATTCCAAGCAAGCGCTGGATAGGAATTCCCAGGGAAAAACGTACTGAAAGTCTATTGTGATAGCAGAAGCGGCGAGCATCGGAATGACGTGGAGCGAGGTGAAGCGAGAAGCTCAAGACCGATCGAGATGGAGAATAAGTCAAGTTGTGTTGTGTTTTGTTTGTTTGCTAGTAAAAAATATTAAAAAAAAAATAGCTTTTCAACACTACCATTTTCACAAGTTTTTCACAAATAAAAAATAATTTTTTTACTAGCTTTTACCCGCGGCTTCGCTCGCGTCACAAAAGGAAAAAAAGTAGCCTGTGACATAATAATATACCAATACACACAGCGCCATCTATACCAATACTTTTGCCGATTCGGAG